GGCTGGATAGAGGATCGTTTAATTTGCTTCCCCCCCCCCCAAATGAGAGCCTTTAAGAAGAGATGATTGAAACAGCATGCGGGGGAGGGGGGGGAAGGTGTCCACCCAGGCTACCGTCTCCCATGTGAATCCTGCATCCGGGTGGGGAGGGGATAGATAAGATGACCTCCAAGGGCCCCTTTGCGAATTAAGTCTCCCAGTGGTGGTGGTGGGGACCATGCATTCCTACGGGGAGTCCTCAACTTAAGACCACAACAGAGCCCACCATTTCCATGGTTGGGTGAGTTTTGCCCTGTTGGGCGGCTTTTCCTTGACGCGGTTGTTAAGTGAAGCACTTCCGTTGTTAAATTAGTCCCCAGGTTGTCTAGTGAATCCGGCTTCCCCCATTGGCTTGCAAAAGGGGATCGCGGGACTCCGGGACCGTCATAAATGTGAGTCAGTGGCATCTGAGTTTGGATCACGTGACCACCACAGGGAAGCCGCAATGGTCGTTAAGCGTGAAAAACGGTCCCCAGTTACTTTTTTCAGTGCCGCCGTACTTTCGAACGGTCACAAAATGAATGGGTGGGAATGGAGGCCTTCCCGGATTCCGGCTGGTTCCACTTTCTAGGGTCCGCTTTCAAATCTGCCTCCTCCTCCTCCTTCTTCTTCCTGCAGACCCAGCCAGGCCAAGGGCCTCCTCGGCTGCAGAACCGGTTCCACCCTGCTGAGTTAGGGACTTGTTATCTCGGCTATGGTTTAATTAAAGCTTGTTTATCCCCAACCTCTGAGTGGCCCTTTGGGAGGCAGGGAGACTAATCTGGGATGCTCTGGGGAAGCCGAGAGCCTGCAAAACAACTCTGCGCCTTTTCACCCTTAGTTTTCTACTCCGTTTTCTTTCTTTCTTTCCTTTCATTCCTTCCTTCCTTGTTTTCCTTCCACCCCTCCCTCCATCCCTCCCCCTTCCGTCCCTTCCTCTCCCCTTCCTTCCTTCTGTTTTCCTTCTCTCTTCCTTCCATTTTCCTTCCCTTCTCTCCTTCCTTCCTTCCTCCCTCATCCTTCCTTCCTTCCCTTCTCTCCTTCCTTCCTTCTGTTTTCCTTCCCTTCTCTCCTTCCTTCCTTCCTTCCTCCCTCATCCTTCCTTCCTTCCTTCCTTCCTTCCCTCCTTCCTTCCTTGTTTTCCTTCCCTTCTCTCCTTCCTTCCCTTTTCCTTCCCTTCTCTCCTTCCTTCCCTTTTCCTTCCCTTCTCTCCTCCCTTCCTTCTGTTTTCCTTCCCTTCTCTCCTTCCTTCCTTCCTTCCTTCCTTCCTTCCTTCCTTCCTTGTAGACTCAATCTGCTCACAGGTTGAGGGCAGGATTTGACACATTTGGGTGTGTATGAGGGTTGTGTGTCTGGGATTTGTAGAATGTTTGGACACTAACAGATACAGACACAACACACACACACACACACACACACACACACTCAGCTCCGCAAACTCCGGAGAGGGGTTAGAGATGATACAACAGTTTCGTAAACACGGGCAACGTGAGGGAGGCTTCAACAGCTGGCTTTGCATTTCATCTGCTTCCACACCCAGCTCAACATCTGCTTCCACACCCCAACATCTGCTTCCACACCCAGCTCTCTCTGCTAAGGCTTTTTGCTCTTGAGGGAAAAAGAAAGAGAGCGAAAGAGTCTCTTCCCTCCTTCGATGGCTTTTATCGTGGGGCTTTTCAAGCCAAGGCAGCTTAGAGGGACGCTGAGGGCAATCGGCTCCCAAATTGCCGTTCCAGCCTTCATTTCTTATAAAAAAGCAACATCAAACTGGCTAAGTAATTGCAAAGCGGGCCCTGCCAGATTATTTGGCTCCAAATAATTGAACAGCTTCTTTACAAGTAGCTTCACCAGGGTTACTCCGCCTGGGCTATTTTAAGGCAGGGGGGAGGGCCCTTCAGTTCCCAGAATCCCCCAGCCAGCATGCTTTGAGAGGGAAGGACTTCAACTCCCAGAATCCCCCAGCCAGGATGCTTTAACATGGGTGGACTTCAACTCCCAGAATCCCCCAGCCAGCAT